TTAGGGTTTAGGGGCTTAGGGTTTTGAGGTTTAGGGGTTTAGGATGTGTCGGGTTTTGGAGTTCTGGGATTAAGACTGGCATACTATGAGAACATGGGGGTTCCAGGGCGTCTGGGGCTTCTATGACTTTGGGGTTATGGGTTGAGGGTGCAGGAGGTGTAGGGTTTAGCAGTTAGGGTGTGGCTTAGAGTTTCGGGGTTTGGGAGAGGTTTTGAGAAGATGCTGTAAGATCGCGACGGAAAGCCCTAAAGGCTCTAGCCCACCAGGAGATTATGGCTGGCCCGTCTTGGTCAGGGACAACTCCACTTTGCGCTGTCTGACTCCATCACGAAAGTTGCAAAGACAAGTGCCAGCAAGACGAGGGAAACTACGAGAAGTCAGAAAGTCGACGAAACCCTGGACCCTAAACCCTAAACCCTAAACCCTAAACCCTAAACCTAGACCCTCGACACCGGATCGGCCACCCCTAAGACCTCTTCAACCATTTTACGCCGGAGCCTGAGAGGCTAAACCCTGAAAACTGAAAGCCCTAAACCGACGGTTTAGCAGGTTTTCGGGTTCATGGTCCATTCAAGGCATTGCAACATACCCAAAAAAAACAGCCCACATCCCTAAACCCTAAACCCTAAATCCCTAAACCCTAAACCCTAAACCCTAAACCCTAAACCCTAAAATGTCGTGCTGCGCAACAACGACCCGGTACGAACCCCCGACCTTCTCCGGCGTCTTCACACTGACCTCCCTGACACTGGTCTCCTTCTTCTCAGGCTCCTTTTAGGGTTTAGGGTTTAGGGTTTAGGGGTTTGCTTCCCCCAGAAACTCCAAAACCCTTAAGTAAGCGCTATACCTTAAGTTGCAGCGGAGCGGGAGCTTTACCGTGGTTTAAAGTACGTTCCTTTGTTCGTCTATTGATGGGTTGTGGTGCTTAGCCAAACCCTTCTCAGCAGTAGGTAACCGTTATGCCTTAGGGTTGGAGTTTGGGTGTGTGGGTTCATGGTGTAGGGCACCAGGTCTAGGGCTTGTGTTTTTGGTGTGTGGGGTAATGTAGGGGCCTTAATAAATGGAATAGGGTTTGGGGGCCAATGATACTATAGTTAGAATAAGGAACTCCCAAAATAGCACAGGTAATTATTTAGGCCCCTACGTTATGGTTCGCCTAAACCGGAAACCCATCACGGCTGAGGCTTTAGGCTATCAGCTGGGGGTTCCGCAACCATCTTCAGAAGCCTAGAAGAGCGTCACTAAACCCTAAGAGCTCTATAGAACCCTAAACCCTAAAGCCTAAAACATCTTCAGAAACCTAGAAGAAGCTCACTAAACCCTACAAGCACTATAGAACCCCTTATGGAAACCTTTCGGGTTCTTCTGGGAACCTTCTAGATATCTTGGAGAAACCCGACAACCCCAGGACACGATAGATTTAGGGGTTGGTTTAGGGGTTTAGGGTTTAGGGTTGAGGGCTTTGGGTTTAGGGGTTTAGGGGTTTAGGGTTTAGGGTTTCGGGGCCAAGCCCCTGCTCCTTCTCCTCGACCTTCACGCCGGAGGCCAGCCGCTTGTGGAACTTGCGCCTGGCGAGACATAGGTAGTTCTCTAAATTTGGGTCCCTGTTTAGGTCCCCACTATGTCGGCACCCTTATAAACAGGAACCTAAAAGGGACCCCAATATTGAAAACTACCCACATGGTCTAGGGGACAATGAACTTTTTGGGATCCTCGGTGTTGGAGCTGGGTTTAGATTAGGGTTTTCAGATTAGGGTACATGCTCGTCGGTAAAACAAGAAGAGTCCCTGCATTGCTAAAGAAAGTACAACCCTAAACCTGCCAGATTTTGGGGTTTACCGCCTTCGGGTTTAGGGTTCAGGGTTTAGGGTTTAGGGAGGGTTTAGGGTTTCGATTCGGGCTCGGGAGAGAGAAGTAGTCGCCGGAGCTGAGGGTACAACTCAAAGTCTCGATTTATAAACAAGGGATCCTAATCGAGACAAGAATAGTTTAGGTTGATATCTTTCAGGGGATGCGAATGTAGACAGTAGTAGACTCAATTGTAAGCTTGACCCCAAATCGTAGCATCTGCCTTATAAGCTAGGATCCTTGCTCTAAGAACCCAGATAATGGGATCCTTCTTGTTTGGGCCACTAAGCTCTGGGATCCTGATTGTAAGGACCCCAAGGAAACCGGATCCCACAATCTGATCCCAAAGTATGAAACCCCATACATTATAAGTAAGAAACCCCAAACCCCAATACTAAACCCTAAACCCCAATACTAAACCCTAAACCCTAAACCCTAATACTAAACCCTAAACCCTAAACCCTTAAACCCTAGACAGCAATACTAAACCCTAAACAATAATACTAAAATCTAAAGCCCAAAGCTGTCAACCCCTGCAGCCCTTAATGAAAATCCTCTAAACCCCCTCAGCTCCGAAGACTTAGACCCCCCACCTCCTTGTCCAGGCCCCTTATGAATCCCCTCAACTTTGGTGTCTTGGGTTTAGGTTTTTTGTGGAGGGTTTAGGGTTGAGGGGTTTAGGGTTTAAGGCTAAGGGGTTTAAGGGTTTTGGGGTTTTGAAGTTTAAGGGGAACCCTAAACCCTAAACCCTAAACCCTAAACCCTAAACCCTAAACCCTAAACCCTAAACCCTAACCCTAAACCCTAAGTTCGGGGTTTGGGTTCAAGGGGGAACTCTACGGGTCCTCTGTCGAATGCACCCGCGAAAGCTGAGGTCGTTACAGCTTCTCCAACGTTTGGATGATCGGTTCGCGGCCAGTCTGCCTAGCCTTGGATTGGGTGTAGGGAATTAGGGTTTAGGGTTTAGGGGTTAGGGTTTAGGGTTTAGGGATTAGGCTTAGCGTTTGATTTTTTATTTAAGGTCAGGAGTTTACGGCTTAGGCTAGTTTGGGCTGGGGGTTCGCAGCTTGAAGGGAACAGGTCAGATGCTCTGGTTGTGAGCCAGCCATATGCCAGCCAGGCGGCATAGTCGATGGGCCCTTGGAAGCGAGAGAGCAGAAACATCAACAAGCTTCGTTGCTTGGGCGTCTAGGGTGCCAGTTGTTCGAGAAGGGGCATCGCCGAGAGAAGAAGTGGCAGTCTTCTGTCTGGTGCTTAGTAGGGAATCGGGGAATGGGTTATAGGGACTACTATAAGGGACCTTAAGGCACTATCATAGGGATCCATTCCCCCATTCCCTCCTAAGCACCAGACAGTCTTACGTGGAAGGTCTGCACATGCCGGTCCCAACCAAGGCTTCACCGGGTGCCCCACGAAGACTGTTGTCGTCTTTGCGGTCCACATCCGTGGCCTGAGTGTGCGGTTTAGGGTTTAGGGTTTAGGGTTTAGGGAAATTTCGGGGGGTCCTTTGAGCGCGAGGGCCTACGGCTAGGTGTGGGCTTTAAAAAGAGCTCTGGGGCCCGCCAGTCAACAGAAGAAGAAGAAGCCGACAGACGCACGGCGCAGGCAAAAGCCAATCAGAAGCTTGACGGATTGCTAAGGACTTCGAGCTTCGTTTCGGCGACCTTTACCTAAATACATGAACAAAGAAACTCAATGTGACCATTGTACCACTAACCTTGAACCGTTGAACCCAACCACGAACTCGACAAAGACTCGAAAAATAGCAGCGCTGTCCCTTTCCGAACTCTCCCTTGGTTTTTCGATCGATCCACCCATCTGCTACATCTGTGCACTAGTGCAGCCATCTTCTTCTGTCTGTATGTGTATGTGTACATATATATATATATATATATATATCTACCTACCTACCTACCTACCTACCTACCTACCTACCTATCTAATATCATCTGAGGTCAAAAACCATCTATGCCTGTGGGCAAGTACACTTAGCTAAGTCAGACTTAGCCAGGAGAACCCAACGCCAAAAATCGCAGACCCCAACAGCCTAAGCCATGACGTCTCAACACCCCGAACCCCAAACCCTAAAGCCCGAACCTGAAAAAAAAATCAAGCGCCATGTTTTGCTACGAGTACATCAAACAAACGACACAACAACAACTGGGGCCAGAGCTAGCAGGCCCATCAGCTCCACCACCTCGTGGTATGGGATTCCGGGATTGGAGGCTTTTGGGAAGGTAGAGGATTGAGGGTTTCGGGCTTATGGTTTGTGATTTGGGATTTAGGGTCTATAGGGTTTGGGATTTAAGGTTTAGGGTTTGGGATTTAGGGTTTAAGGGTTGGGGTTTAGGGCTGAAGGGATTCAGGCTTTCGGGTTAAGGGTGCTTATGGTCCAGGGTTGACAAATGTAGCTCAGGCTTGGGTTTAGGGATAGGGACTCAAGCTTCGGGTTCTTGGTAGTTTCGGACTTAAAAGGACTAGGCGGCTAGAGTTTCAGTGATTGGGCTTCAACCCTAAACCCTTGAACCCTAAACCCTCAACCCCTAAACCGGGGTTTTGGAATTCATGCATTTAGGGGTTTAGGGTTTAGGGTTTAGGGTTTAAGGGTTTAGGGTTTAGGGTTTAGGGTTTAGGGTTTAGGGTTTAGGGTTTAGGGCTTGGACTCGGGGCCAGCACTAAGGATGCAGGATGCATGTCCAGGCGAGGGTTTCGGGGCAAAGGGCAGAGAGTTCGGGTTTAGTGTTTAGGGTTTGGGGTTTAGGGTTTAGGGTTTAGGGTTGGGGGTTTAGGGTTTAGGGTTTAGGGTTTTTTGGGTTTGGGGTATAGGGTTTACGGTTGTGGGGTCGGGCACACCAGAATTGAGAATAAGTGCTTGCGGACATACGGCATTTTGCGATGGTTTCTCCACAGAGGCTGTACCAAGCGCTCACAGCAAAGCTACATGCTGCCCTTCATGCTACCTTACCGCTATACGTTGGGAAACTTACAGAAGGCTTCATCTAGCGTCTTTGCATTGCTTCTGTAGAAGAGGGGGACGTTTAGAAGACTTGAACCCAGCTCATACACGAGCGAAAGAGCTTGTCAAGCCCCCGAAACCCCAAACCCTAGACCCCAAACCTAAAACCCCAAAAACGCCCGAGGCCCTGAACCCTGAAAACCCCCAAGCTGAATCGTCGCGCTAACCCTAAACCCTAAACCCTGAACCCTAAACCGACGGTTTAGGTTTAGGACTTACGGCTTTTCTCCCTTCCTGGGAGTTCGGCTGAAGGCTCTTCCACACACTCTGCACAGTAGTGCAGCATCGTGTAGCCTGTTAGGGTTTAGTTTAGGGTTTAGGGTTTAGGGTTTAGAGTTTAGGGTTTTATGGTACGGGGGCAGCCTCTGGTTTGTTTTGTCTTGGGTTTGGGCTTTGCAGCCGGGGTCCCGGGTTTGCTACAGTCCAGTCCCCTTGGCGCCATGGTTGGCACCCTAAACCCTAAACCCTAACCCTAAACCCTAAACCCTAAACCCTAAACCCTAAACCCTAAACCAGTCTTCGCAACGATTTCCTAGGTTCTCTGCAGCAAGCGAGACTGCGATTGGGATCCCCGGGTCAGTAGACGGTTTAGGGTTTAGGGTTTAGGGTTTAGGGTTTAGGGTTTAGGGTTTAGGGTTTAGGGTTTTAGAAAGTCTTACAAAAAGAAGCGCACCCCAAACGATTCTAAGTCGCTGCACTGCCAACCCCGCAAAAATGACACACAACCACTCCCAACACCCACGTTATCCAGTAGCCCGAACAATACAACCCCAATTGAAACCAGGGCAGAACATGCGAGTTCACACACACACACACACTCACCCCCAAACCCTGCCAAACTCGAAACCCTCAACTCTTAAACCCTACATCCCAACACCCAAACCGAATCCCAAAGGAGAATCCTCCCCTAGCCTCTCTTCCACTTGAGGCTGTCCCAGCCGAGTCCTTGCAGACCAAGAATCGTGGCTTTCGAGTTGAGGGTTTAGGGTCTATTCGGTACCGGTAGTATAGAAGGCTTGGGACATGTAGTATAGATGTGGGTAGTTGTCAAAATTATGGTCCCTTTTGGGGTACCCTAAATAATAGGTGCCGTATTATAATGAGGATCCAAAAAGGGACCACAATTTTGACAACCACCCATGTCTGCAGAAGGAGACGACGGTTTTGGGGGGCCTGTATGCTGTAACTCCACGGAGTGCTGTTGCGCTCTATTTTATGCCCCTTCTCTAGAGGCTGCAAGAATCAATCAAGCTTCCGGATTCTGGGTCCTAGGCGACAAGATCCCAAAAACCCTGAACCGGAAACCCTAAACC